CAGACACTGACAGTGTTTAGTTTTTCACACAATCCCTTTGCGATGATAAACAGGATGTCACACAAGGTAGTTTAGTTATGGAAATTGAGTCAATAATGTTATCAACTATTACAAGACATTTTATAAATTGAAAGAAAACAATGAATCACAAAAGGCTTTGTTAAGGTTGATCGTCATCTGGTTTCAATTTCTGTTTCTTTTTGCCCTTGGAGGCTTTTCTTCCACTGAACCATGTTGCTTCTTTCATGGACTTGTCAGAGGCAGCTTACAGGAGCTATTTATAATCTTTAAGTTTTTTTCCAAGGGGAAGACACTGCCTAGATTGGCCTCCCCTGCTTTCTGTGGGCCCGTTTAAGCTCCAATTTGCAGATCCTGGCTGAGGGTGTTGGGAGGGGAGTTTCAGCCCTGCAAACTTTCAATGCCTTTGGCTCAGTGCTGGCCCTGCCCATGGCTGGACAGGTCATTAGGTACTGGTGGATTAGAGCTGCTACAAGTGTCCATTCTCAAACAGTCTGACTTTGACTACAACCTTCTGACCATGGTGAGAAAGTTGTACTGAGGAAAATTAAGATGCTGTAATTCATAAGCAACAAACAGAGTACAGAGCCCTGGGACTGGCTGCCAGGGACACAATGAGAAATTCCTGTTTCCCCTTTTCCACAAGCACTCAAAACACATTTTAACACCAAAGGCAGAAGGATGAGGTAATGCAGAAATAGAGACAAACCTCCCCCAGACCCAGGAGCTGATGTGCTGGCAGCACCACACACCTTTGGGGTGCTTGCCCATAGGACCACACCTGAGCCTTCAGCAGGCAAACTTCCCACAGCCAAACCCAAAGCTTTTCCTCCAAAATCTCCATATGGGGCTTTGGTCAGCTCTCAGACAAGTCACGAAAGAAGCAACTGTTGCAACATCAAAACTAGGGTTTCTCTGAGTCACATTTTAAATACTTATCCCTGAGCTTCTGTGTATTGAAACAACACACCGTGAACCCAGAGAAACGCCACAGCTTGACACTGACAGCTATGCATTTCCCTCCATTTACACATCATCTACAACTTAAAAATTAGTTTCATACTTAAACTAGTTCCCCAAGTTTCCCCATTTCTCCTGCCTTTCACGTGGCAGGGATGATTGCCGCTTATTATCCTGAGAAATAACAACATTTTCACAGACACCGAGCTTCATAGCTTCAAATCAAAACCAAGAAGGAAGAAAGAACGAGTGGGAAATAGCACATTCACAGGAGAATCTTTTTTTTTTCCTTTTTTAACTTTTAAAAAAATGTAGTAAAGGTAAAAGAATTCAAGTTTTTTTAAAAAAAGTTGGTTTGAAGGACAAGACTTAAACTGCTTAACCTGAGGTGGCTGTGGGTCTGTGCAGAAACCTGAAGAGCCAGGGCAGATCCTGCCACGTGTGGCACAGGAGGGACAGCAGCGAGTGGCACTTGAGCCTTTGCAGGGTGGTGACACGGCCACCCAGGCCTCCCTTGGCAAGCAAGAGCAGTCCAGGAGCCCTGTTCACACCACTGGGACCCCTCGCTCTCAAAGCAACACCCCAGCACTGGGAACACGGGTGTTACTGGGGCAGCAGCTCACCTGCACTGGCTGGTGATCCCACTGACCATGGCTCACCCCGGGAGCGCCGCGTTCCCCCCATGCTCTGTGTGCGACGGGAGATGGCAAAAGGTTTAAGAATTAAAGCTCCAGATTTAAGAGTTACAGAGGAGTCCAGATTGCTCCCTGATGACCCAAAGCACACGGTGCCTCTGCAGAGCGTGGTGGGCACGAGAGGAGAAAGATGGAGGCCACTGGCACAATTCACAACTGAACAGTATCTGATGCACGTGCAAAGCAGAGGAGAGTGAGCTCCTACCGCAGCAGTTCTGCCGTGCCCAGAGCCCAGCAGTTTTGGGGTACCCAGCACCTCCAAGCATCCTGGCTGCCCCTCATCCCCTGCCCCCCTGCAGGGCTGGACATGTTGAGGACAAGGACTCGCTACCCAGCAGGAGTCTGAGCTCAAGTGGAAGAAAACTCAGGCACCTTCCAAAAGCTGTTGTTGAGGCCCCGGGGTCTCACACTCCCCCCATCAGCCAGTGGCAGCAGGTCCTGCTCCACTCCTGGCATGGGGACACCTTCAAACTGCACAACAGCAGCGAGGACCCCTCAGCACCAACCCTCCGAGAACGTGAGCCCGAGAGCTTCAGATTTATGTCCCAAATCTCTGCTCGGATTAAAAGTAACTCTTCAGCTTTCCATCTGCACAGACGCTTCGAAGGAGAGGAGGGGGTCAGCCAGCCAATTTATCTTTCAAATCGGGGATAAAAATTGACTTGTCATGGCAGAAAATTCTACCAAAGACTATTATTGTTGATTGATTCCTCTATGACAGAAGGTCAGATAAGCAAGAGCAGATAGATACCTAAGATAATGAACTTCCCCCTACTAGCATTAAGCACAAATAAAATATGAGTCCCTGTAAACCGAATGTTACGTGAAGAATGGAACAAAAATTCCAACCTTTCCAGGGTGTCCTTCAAACCAAATTCACAAATACATCTAGCGACTGACCTAATGTCTCTACATCTCTAGCTACACTCCTACCTTCTCATAATACCTGAGTTTGCAATGCAACACATTCACTTTACCCTGTTTAAAAAATACAAGTCGTTAGAGGACTTGGTGCAGAAGATATCAGGAATGACTGTCCAGTGATTCTGTTCTGTTTGCTGCTTCCTTACCTGTCAGTTCAGGAAGGATTTTCTACTCCCTACAGCAAATGAGTACTTGGGAACGGATACTGCTGCCAATCAACCTTTGGAAAATTTGTTTTCTACAACAGAAAGTAGAACATTCACGTCCGTTCATCATCATAACTGAATTTAGGTTTTTGGTTGTTGTTGGTACAGCATTAGTCTTGGGAGGCTATTTTGGAAAACCACAGATTACCCAATAGATTATTTTGTTGGATAGCTGGCAATAAGATGACTGTTTTTATGTACACTAATTAAAACACTTATTCATCAACAGATAATAATAATTCAGTAACTGTAGAATAAAATTACTCCTATGCAATTTTAACAATTCCTTGAGTGTATAAAACAACAAGCCAGAAATAACCCGTAATAAAAAGATCATATCAAGCTATTCAGAAATTAAAAGCTGAGAAATACTTTCTAACTTACAAACAGGTACACTACAATCTTCCCCTGTACACGTGAGGTATAGGCTGTATGCAGAAGGCTTTCCTGAGAATACACGTGTGTCTCATTGTACTGTCAAAGTAAATGAGATTTACGGAACCACCTTTGGGTGTGAAGCTCCATCAAGCTGAGCTGCTGCTGGGCCCAGCAGCTGTTACCCGTAACATCCTGTTTAAATAATGAAAAATGAGCAGCTATGGACTTTTAGAAAAGGGAAACCGTCGAGCTGGAAGATGCCCAAGCGGGGTGCCCAGCCAGCAGCGGGGCCCTGGCGCGGGGTGAGCGCGGTCACCGGCACCGGCACCGCCTGACCAGGACGTGCCAAGCCAGCGGGTCACCGTGTGCCAAGGGCTGCAACCCAGGGAGTACCCGCTGGGCCAGGGGGAGGGAGGGAGGGGAAGACGACTTTGGTGAGTGGGATTTCTCTCCTGTTCACCACCACATTCATCCACGGTAGCCGCAGCCCCCCGGGCTGTGCTCGCCCTGTGCCACGCTGTCAGCGGGGCAACGCGAAAAGGGAGCGACTCGTCCCTCCGGCCTGAAGGGTCAAAAGCTGTTTCCCCAGATATTTTTAAATCAGTATTCAAACAATTGTTGATGAACCATCTTGCTACACGAATGTCAGATCTACATCTAAGGAGACAGGGAGGGAAATCTAGCCAGGACTGTCTAGGAGAGTGACTGAGTCTTTGAACATTAATTTCTACTGCAGGAGATGAGAACAAGAGCATCTCATCCAACCTCCCCACCACGAGCAGGAAGCCATGAGATCACTCATGAGAATGCCCAAGTTAAGCTGAACACCAGCACTCAGCAATCACTCCATCAACTAATCAGTTGCCATCAAACCAGTTCTCCATCTGGAGGGGGGGGAGCTTGCGAGATAGAAAATCCAAGCCTTGCAATATCTAGGACAGAGCGGGTCACCAAGGACTGCAGTAATGTTGTTTTTCCTGAGATTCCACAAGCAGCAGAACAGTTCTGGCAGGATGAAACTATGGAACACACATTCCCTGAGTCCAGCAGAGAAAGCCATGCCAGACGACACTGGAGTCCCTCACCCCATTACACAGGTCACATTTAAGCACAGGGTACATGAACTGCTCCCAGAAATGGGGACTGCTGCACTGCAGAAGCCTCAAGAGTCAGGTACCACCTCAGATGAACACAATAAGGAGGGCAATCCTGACTCTTCTCTAAGTAGGTTTTTCCTGCTTTTGTGAATCTAAAATGGATGTTAAGGAAGTGAAGAGAAAGTACTTGCAGTTCTCTAGCAACAAGAGCACCTCTGTGTAATGCCAGGAGCCTGCTACGAACTGCAGGAACAAAATTTCAGTGGAATTGGAACATATTGTGGGAATAGTGAGAGGGCAGCTGGCCAGGAGGGGCTGGGGCAGACCCCTGCCCACAGCTCCCCAGAGGGGGACAGGGGCAGCAAGCCCCTCACAGTTCCAGACACTGCCATCCCACTGGGAAACCTGCGTCTGGAAACTGCCAGGGGAAAAGAAACCAACTGCACAGACAGACTTCTCCTTCTTCTCCGCTCCCTGCCTTTTTAAAATTAAATTTAAAGAAAAAAGCTTGGCACTTCTCTATTACCCACTTCTCCAAAGTCGTCCCTTTGGGATACTAACAGCTCTGTCGATGCGGTGAGGCCGTTTGCTCTCTACGACAAATGCTTCTGGATAAAAAACATGGAAAGAGCAGTGCATGAACAGCATCTTCTCCTTGAGGTAGTCTTAGTCATCTCGGTCCCCAGCCTCAAATACAAAAGAACTAACCCTAACAAACACTGTAACATTAAACATCTTCACATTCTGTAAACCGCTGGAGAATGCATCTGCTGCATTCCTACAGAACCATGTGCATCGTGTTGAAGATCATACATTCAACTCTGTCGTGAAATAAATATATAGGAAAAAGAGTAAAAAAACAAAAACAAACAAAAAAGACTCTTGCTACAAGGGCAGGGACACCCCTGCCCCATCTCCTGCCTGGATGGCGTTTGCCCCTCTCCCAGGGTGAGCCAGCTCACAGCGTAAGGCACCGGCCGGGGCCAGCTGGGCTCACTCTTTGCTCACACTCGTCTTGCAGGAATGTAGAACAGCCTTAAAAAGGAGAGGCAGCTGCTCCAGGGGGACATTCACCATTTTTCCTGGTAAGAAAGAAACCAGAATTAGCAGCCACTCCTGAATCAGATTTCAGAGACACCTAAGCCAGCAGTGCTGGAGATGGTTTTACCTTGAACCTTTCAGAGAAACAGTTAATCATCCTACAGCTACATTAGACATTTGATATTCATTTGGACACAATGTGATTTATTATTTACTGAATAGAAAGCAAAATAAATGGGCAAAGTCAGATCAAAATGATTTGTCCACAATGGAGCAGTATTTATAGAAAGTGGGAAGGACTAAATCCCATCTCTCCTCAAACCCCCTTGTTGGTCTCCATGAGTAAATTACGAGAGCTACTCTGAGATTATTATCTAGTTCGTTATGACGGAGTAGGATAAAGCATATGGAGCCTTGACACGGGGAGGCAAGTATCCCTCCTTTGCCATAACATTCAGGAACAAACAGTTTTAGTAACACCAGACCTTGGAGACCTAATTAGTGACGACTGCAGTTGAGGATTCACCTGCAGATTTCTGAGGTCCAAATGAGCTGGGGGGTTACACTGCAGGTCTGCCCACTGCTCTGATCCCCTTCTCCTTAATTCAGCAGCATTTCAGGGATCTCTCTAGTTCTTATGAGATAACTACTCAAACCAGGATTACACCCATTTGAGACAAAATGCCTCTGAGTTGGGATTGAAAGAAAGAAAAGGAGAACCTGACCAAAGTACTTAAAGGGTGTCAGGTCAGAGCCAGGCATATCTTCTGGAGCAGGAAGGAACCCTGTGCCCACCATCATCACCAGGACACCTTGCCAGTTGCTGCTCTGGCTGGGTGAGCTTGAGCCAATGCCTTAAAGGTGGGCGAGAAGCTCTGACAGCAAAAGGTCCTACACAAACATCCTCCACCAAAGTCAACAAGAATTTCACCGTTATAAATTAATTTTCTTTTAAAAGCACATTTCATAACTTGCACATGATCCTGGTGGGAGAAGAGCTCAGGAAGTTACCTGCAATATATCGTATCTCTGGCAAACACATCATTAAATCCGGGAAGCGGTTTGGCTGGTGTGGGTATTTGTACTCCGTGAAGTCCTGGCAAACGTACCAGTACCGCTTATTCAGCTGCTCCAGTTGGGATGCATTGGTCAGCCCCCTGATGTCTGGAAGGGAACACAATACAGCAATGAAAACATGACAAAAATACCCCAGAAGAGCAGCAGCCTCGCACTTACTGCCTCTTCCTCAGGACAGACTGCTTTCTGTCACTCTGAGCTGGGTCACTGCTTCAGAGAGTGGCTTCCAGCACCCAGTTACACCAATACTAAAATTCCCAACTCCCCTCCTGCCATGCCTGCATCGTGGATCTTTACATGCATGTCTGGATACAGGATTTCCCTCCACAAAGGGGGAAGAGAACAGCTAATGTCCTAAGCTGCTCACCTGCAGCTCAACAAACGCTCTCAGAGATAACAGCTCCAGCAACCTGAAATGCCTGCCTGGCACAACGTGGCCGTGTGTCAGGGTTCAGTCCTCACAGCAGATCAGTGTAACACCTCCTCAGGCAGGAACACGCTGGTTTTAGTTGTACCATCTTGGCTGAGGACAGTGCTCAGCTCTATAATTCAAGGTATCACCACATCTCTCTCCTCATCTGCTTATGAATTATGTCACAAGAGCTTTACAAACTTGTCAACTTCTTATTTTTGAATTTAGCTTTGGCCATGTCAGGCAACACACACAAAGGACAAACGGATGGGCAAGAAGGGCCACTGGCACCGTGACCAACAGTGTGGGCACCCTGCTGGGGCCTGGGGAGGACCCTGCACAGCGAGGGAGCTGCAGGCCCTCGGAGCAGGCTCGGAACTGTGGGACCATCTGACGGAAGAGGCATTCATCTGCTGCCCAAAAGCTGACTTTTAAAAATAAGTCTCAGGTATTTCACTTAAAAAATTGCAAACTTCAACTAAAAATAAAAGAAGACAGGAAGTTAATGAAAATACATTTTGGAAAACAATGGAGACAGCTCGAGAAGTGCATTATCCAGTGTCAGGAAACTGCCCAGGGAAGCAAACCGGAACCTCAGCCCGGCACAGATTGAAGTGTCAGCACTATCTCCTGCTGGAAATGAGTGGGGGAGGAGGGAGCCTGCAGCACAGTTTTACAGACTGCGACTATCTTTCACAGTACAAAATACTTTGGGGACATTTATTTCCAAAATTACAGACGAACACCATCTATTGAGCATTTGCCTCTGCATGGATTTTGAAATGCCCAGGGTCTTGAAGTAGCCAGGACTACCAGCTTTAGTGTGCTGCTTAATCAGCAGATTTACAGCCCTTTCCTAGGCTGAATTCATGGCCTGCACATAAATACTTCATCCCTGATCACCTTTCACTGTGAAGAGTCAGATTTAGGTACTGAACCTAAAATGCAGGAATCCAGCTAAGTGATCTAAGGATATCCTCAAGGTAAATGTTTTAAAGAGTCAGAAAAGCTCTAAAAAAGGGAGTACTGGTTTTACAAATTCGCCCTTTAAAGCACAAAAATGAACAAATACATTTTCTAGCTGTGAATCTTTAGAAGGTTGTTATGCAAGTAGTCATCATTTACTTCAGAAAAAAAGTCATGCAAATTAACTGGTTTTAAAGCATCATTTAGGTAATTAACTAAACAGTCACCTAAAGCAGTAATATTTTCAGATGACACGTCTGCTGCCTATGTTTAAAGGCAATAAAAACTTCATCCCATTCCAGGTTTCTCCACGTGGGTACCCAAGCATCCCATGTGTGAGCATGATGGCTCAGACACACTGAGCGTTCAGGGTTTGAGCCTCTTCCTGGCTCCTGGACCCTTCCTCCCATTTCCCATCAGGGAAGCAATGACTGCTCAGACTGTTTCAGAGCCCCTCTCTGCAGACTCACCCTGATTGAGGAAGTTGATGGCTTTCATACAGGCATACTCCTCGTTGCTGACCTTCAGCTGGTTAAATTTGCGAAAGAGGTAGATCAAGCGCTCCATCACCTCCATCCCCTCTTCACTGAATCTGCAGGACAGAGACCACACATCAGCACATGCAGCACGTGGACCGTACCGTAAAGGCAAGAAGCTTTTTGAAGTATTCAGAGATTTTAACATCTTGCAAGAGAATTAAAAAAATTTGCCATCAAAACTGCCCAAAGTCTGTTGGCATTATTAAATTAAAGTAGAAGTAAGGAGGAAAATGTCTCAGTTACAAACTTAGAGTCATAGAATCACTGAATGGTTTGGGTTGGAAGGGATCTCAAAGATCATCTCATTCCATCCCCCTGCCATAGGCAGGGACACCTTCTACTAGACTGTGTTACTCAGAGCCCCATCCAGCATGGTCACACTAGGGATGGGAAGTCCACAGACTTGATTGATACAGATATTTATAGCAAAAAAAACATCTCTTGGTGATTCAGTTCACCACCAGCCTGCTTTGACAGTGGAGATGGTTTGATGGAGCCAGGAATCTGCAGCAGAGCCAGTGACAGTGGTGGATAGGACAGGGCACACTGATGCACGGGGAATGCAAATCTCCCAAAAGTCCCCTGGGAAATTGCCTGATGGAGATTTTCTGGTTGCAGAACCAGGTCCTCCTGCTGAAGGGGGTGACAAGCCTCTTCAGGAGTAAATACCCCACGTGTGCACCATGACTAAGCCACAGGGTAAGGACCAGGCTGGAGCAGAGCAGGAGGGTGTGGAGGGCTGCCAGTGTCTGCAGGTACCTCCAGACCATCCGACACCCGCTCAGGACCAGAACGGCCTCTCAGGAACACATCTCACAGCAATACCCCCGGCTTCAAAGAAACCACATATTAAAAAGTGCTCAGAAGTGGGACAGAAGTGTTTCGGGAAGCTTCAGCGTCCTCTGGCATTGTGAAGCACAAAGCACAAGAGCACAGCCAGCAAGCCATCTCTGAATAGAACAGAAATAGAACCTTTTTCACTGAATAATACCTTATTTTGGCATGTGTGTTTGTTTACTTCAAAGTTATTTGTAAAATGCATGGTGGAGTTTAACCTCTGCGAAGTGAAAACAAGCTGTCTGAACTCCAGGTCACTTCTTCAAGAAAGTAATATTGTAAGTGATGAAAGCCTTGTCGGCTAATCTAAAGTTGTACAAGTTTTCTTGCTCTCCAGTTGACATTAAAAATCTTGCAGGTGCAAGATTGCAAAGCTCAAGAAGTTAATGAGCACAAAGACCACTCAGTCGTCTGTTGGGTTTAATTGTTTTTAGAGCATGCACATTTTTACCAGCCACTCATCACTCCATAAATCCAGGAGAGCTCTTCTCTCATTCCTTCCGTTGAACTGTCTTACTTTCTGCACATACTTTCCTCCCCCCTTTCAAACAAAGCTATTCTGTTTTTCACAGCCCTATTTCTTCTCGAGGACTGACTCCTCCACACTTTTCCTCGCAGTTTACACCAGGCGAGTTTCTGGCTGGGAGTTATCGGGATCAGCTGGGGAGGAGAGGGAAGGGAAGCACTATCAGGAGTGCTGGGGGAGGTCAGGAGTCTATTCATTTCATATTCATCTTCAGAAAAACAGCACAATAAAAGAAAACATTTGATCTAGCAGGCTAACAGAACATTTAGCCAGTTGTTAGAAGCGATTAAAACACAGGGGCTGGGGAGCTCATCCTATGCCTTTGTTTGTCACCTACGCATTAGCATTGCTCTTGTCATTTTGTTAAGAGCAGAAATTAACCCTGAAGTGCCAGACTATCCCTGCTCAGAGAGATTTCTCCAACCATCTCTGAAGTTTGCTTTGCAGTCATTACGGATCAATGTCGGAGGAACCAGGGGCTCTCTGAACGCATTGGACACCTCTCCGAAAGAGCCCCTCTCAAATCTGAAAGGACTGGCTTTTTCACGACTGCTTTGGATAGGGAGCTATCCCACTGCTGCTGGCAGACAGTGAAGCTATGGCTGGAGGACCATGGAGACAGGAGTGAGAGAGCCACACAGCTCGAGGCCCCTCATCTATGCAACTTCCCGCTAAATGGCTTTTTGGGTGTGCATTCTCCCAGGTTACTAATGACAATTAATGATACTTGAAAAGCTAAATCAGAAGAGATTGCAGAAGCATTCCTCTCCCAAGAACACCTATTTTCATCCATGTGCACAGATCTTCTCTGAAGGACCTTTGAGGCGACCAGCTCTGAATTGCCGGTTTCTGCAGGGCGAGGATTCCTCCTTTGTCTCGCTGTCTTAGCCCTCACTTGTATTTATCACAAACCCAAAATGAAAGAAACACTTCCCTCGTGAGGCTCTGACCAGGACAGCAGGAACAAAAGGACAGCTGAATGCAGGACCAAGTGTCATTGTGGTTTTCTATGACCCTCACTGCTCCTTGCAGAAGCAGCACCAGATGCACGATGAATGGCCGGGCAGAACAGCGGCGTGGAGGAACCTGCCCCAGGAAATGAGACACCTGGGGCCAGCTCTCCACTCCACTGTGGTCTCAGCCCACCAGTGCCTCTGGTTGTCACAACAGAAGCACAAAGGTATCTCAAAGAGCTGTGAGGCACCGCAATGGCTGAGGAGCACAGCAGTGTTGTAAATCCCTGCTCATCAGACATCGGATCCCCGGTGACTCCGGCAGCACCGCCGAGCCCAGCGAGGGCAGAGCACACGAGGCAGGTGTTTAAAGGGAGAGTAGGCAGCAGTTTCCCTAAATCCTACCTATTCTGCCAGAATATTGTGAGATTGTGACTCTACTACCAAAAGGAGAATGTGTCTGGCACCGAGACTACAAAACAAAACATCCAAACCAAAAAAACAACACCCTGACCAAAATGATAAATGAAAGGCAAGTTCCCCAGAGCATCAGATAGTCTGTACCATGGAAAAAACGAGAGCTAAGTTGCAACATTTTTAAATTTATGTAATCAAAACAACGAAAAAGCAATTAATAATGAACACTTTGATAATACAGATAACCAGCTTTGTGAACAGCCTTTCCACTGGCCCAATGGGTTTTTAAATAAACTTTCTTTCAGGTATCTCAGGGTTACCAAAAGTGTTGGTTAGTTTTACTCTCCTCATAAAAAGGTGCTTTGTAGGGCTGTGCTGGAGGACAACAGCATTGCTAAGGGAAATTCAAAGAGCACCATGCTGCACCATGGCCCTTTCCCTGCAGAAAGAAGGTGTGATCCAGCACTGACTAACCATGGTGTGCTTTCTAAGCCTGGAACAACTGTTCCCTAAAGATCAGAAAAGGAAAACAGGTGCAGGCGAAGTGACAAGAGAGATGGTCACAGAGCACCTGACCACTGTCCTTCCCACGGCTCCTCCATCTCTAGATCTCACTGCCTTACCCGTGGGCTCAGCCTGACATCTCACCTGTGCAGCTCATCGTCAGAGGGAGAGTACTTGGAGGTGACATCTGCCAGGTCACCAAAGATCTGCTTGCTGTAAACAGTCAGGGAGGAGAGCAGGATCAGCTCCTGCCACGTAGAGCTGAGCAGGCAGGTATAGTCCTTGATGGAGAGTTCGCAGAAGAACGGCAGCTTCTTGATCCAAGCAATCTGCCTGAAAAGCAATTCATCCGCCAGACGACACAACAATGCAAACAGCTCTGCCTGGGTCACTTTATACCTGCAGGCACAGTTAAAACGAAGGCAAAAAACGTTAAAAACATTGAGTGACATCACCTGATGAGGCACTTGAAAACAAGGCAAACACACAGGAATTTGTGTTCAAGTGGCCAATGTGCCAGTGCCCAGGGTGTCACCTGGTGATGGGAGCCAGGATGGTGAGCACCCACCCTGCCCGACTGGGGGCTATGAGGGGATCCCCCCCAACCCCAGGGGTCACCCAACTCACCAGCACCCAGCCTGGCCAGGCCACATAGCCTGGAACCCCATCCCAGGTCCATGCACCCCAGCTCCAGCACCAGGCAAGGGTACAGGATACCCATGGGATGGGGTCTGGTTTGCTGCCTGCACTGTGCAGCTGCAATTTCTCCCAGGGCACCTGTGGCCCCACGTCCCAGCAGGAACACACAGCCCCGGTGCCGTGCCGGGTACACACTGACCCGTCCTCGATGAGCATGGGCGTCCCCAGTGGCTCCAGGTCCTCGGCAGACACCAGCTGGTTGATCAGACTGTGAGACTGGGGGTCCAGGCTGCGCGTCTGGGGGGGCACCAGGGCCGAGTGAGCAGAGTAGCTAAAAAGGTGCGGGAGGTACTGGTAGTGCGTGGACACCGGCGTGCCGATGTACTGATCCCTGAGTGCGGCGAACCCGTTCAGCTCCACAGACCTACTGGAAAAGGAACAGCTCTTCAATATACCCCAAAAATTCCACTTGACTCATTACAACGTTGCATCCAGCTCTTTCAGAAATGCTAATAAAAACAGGGAAAGCAAACAGAATGGGAAATGCCTTTGTATTTAAACCCTGCCTTGGAAATAACTGAGTGTGCAGATCAGAAGCCACGCGCTGGCTGCACGCTGAGCCCAGCCAGGCACTGGTTAATGGAGATCTGGGAGCTGCTGCTGAGCTGCCATTCAGGGAGCAAAGCAGAAACCTACCTGTGCACAGCTTTTCCAGCCCAGCTTTCTGAAAGGGCCAGAATTTGGGACTGTACATTAAGTACTTCCACAGCCAGTGAACACAAACGTGGCCATGCTTAAGATGCAGCTGAAAGCAGATGGGATCAGGTCTGAGATTCTCACTGCATCAGGAGGTTTGCACTCACAGTAAGTGACTTTAATATTAAACACCACCAATTATTAACCTAAATGGAGTCTTTTATTTTCAAAATCTGAGCACAGTGCAGAAAAAGAGTTTATGCAGAGTGAGCAGTGAAAGGTAATCAAGTACCCATGATCTGCAGAAAGTATGATCAATACAAATTGAGATACATTTAAAATTTAACTCGAGTGCCTTTTTTTCATCTGCTCACAAGCATCTCACCTCCCAGTTCAATTCTTTTCAATCCAGTCCTGTCTGTCATAAAACATAAGAGAGGTAGCTGGAACCTGCTATGCCCAGTTTACACAAAGATGCACTTGTGTGTTTTTCCTACACTGACCCCAAGTATCACTCAGGGAAAGACAACCAAATTCTCCCAGAGGTCATTCCCACCTTGAAGATGGCGTAGAAACAGGTGAAGGCTGGTTGCTCTCAGAAACTCCATTTCCAGGGGAACTATGGTCACTGTCTCCGTTGTTGCTCCATGACATGTTTGCCTCTCCCTCAAATTCTTGCCCAGACATAATTCTCTCAATCTCTTCCTCTGATATCTGTCAAATATAGGACATGATGGTTACTTTGGCTGAGAACAGAAAGGCAGAGCCTCTCTCTGCCTGTGAACACCTTGACTGTTCACTCACATCCAACAGGGCTGACCCCCTCCACCCCTCCTGCAGGTACCACATCCTTCCTTTGCATTTAACAACATACATGAAAAACTTCTATTTACAGCCAATCGTGGTGACCCCCAGTTCCTGCAGTACCATTCAAGTGATGGTAATGCAGCAGACAGGAATGGACACGTGAAAAGATGATGTCAGATGGACACTGTAAATCAGCCACTGTCACACCGTGAAAAACCTGGGAGTAATTGAGGCCAGTGCATCAGGAACATCACTCAGGACTGGCAGAGGGAAAGAAACAGAAGGGGGGGCAGGCTCTGGTTTGATAAAGCAATTGAGAGAAGCAAGGTGACACATATAAAATCAGCAAGGAGAACATTTACAGGGAACCACGGTTCTCTATTTTTCCCCAGCTAAGAACCAGTTGCCACCTGAAGTAGTAAATCAAGCATCTAATACTTAAAACAAGTATATGAAGCTAAAATGGATTAAAAAAAATTTAAAATCGAATTCACTGAAATACAAAGTTTCAAGAAAGTGCTGGACATGCTCCTGGAGGAATGTTACACCAGTAGTGGGGAAAATGCAACATAAAAGTTCTGAGGGTTTTTTTTTTTCCTATTCTGTGCATGTCCCTTAGTGAGGTTGTCACAAACCATTAGAAGACCTTGAGTCAACGTGTGACAAGAAAGCACAGTGAGCCCTGAACATCATTTTCAAGAGCCAAACGTTGCTCAGACAGTTTATTCCACTCTTGCAGAAGAACTCGGTGGGCTCACTCGGGTACAGGACCTGGAGAGTGCAGTACCTAAACAGTCTCAGCCCAGGAAATGGAGGTGACAGCAGAACCTCTGGTCCAGCAGGGACAGATCACAAACACCTCAGAGGAGCAAGGGCCCACTCTGGTGAGCAAAGGCTGCTGGTGAAGTGCAGCTGCACTGCTCAGAGAGAAGTGAAAACTGTTACCTGGCCAGAAATGAAATGTTTGTTGTTCTTCAACAGACTAAATAGGCTTTAAAAACCAGTAACTAGTGCTGTTATAAATATGATGCTTGCAAACAGCAAGGAGGATTTTTGTTGTTTGAGGTAGGCTCTCCCTGGTGCTGACCCCAGGCACGGCTGCACCATGCAGCTCTCCCCACAGAGCCACTCACTGCGCAGCCTTCCCACTGTTTGGGTTTGGTCTTTCCCAGGCACTCAGACTCACAGAAAATGCTTTCAGTGTTATTTCTGTTTTGTTAAAATAAACAGTAAACTTTTAAAAGCCCCCTTTTCCAGAAGTGAGCTGGAAATGGCCATCATTTCTCACGCGTGCGGCACAAGCTGCTGTGCTGAATTACCTCGCGCTTTACAAGGCATCTCTGGACAAGCTGCACCATCAATCAGAGAGACATTTACTGGTGCCCCGCTTGCTACAACTGAAGGGATTGCAGCAGGCAGCCGGAGATTTACTGGGAGCCATGGAGGGACAGACGTCCTTGTGCAGCTCACAAAGGACAGGGCGCCGTGAGGCTGCTCAGGGGTGCACGTGACACCCTGGGACCGCGCCGGGTCCCCCCTGGCACAGGCAGCACCAAGCTCTATTTACAAATCTACAGTTCACACGCATTTCTAACACCTGTGGAGAGTCAAAGCCCTGCCAGGCCGGCAGAAGGCACGGGCAGGGATGACAAGAGGCTCAACAAAACAGCCACAGCCCCATCCCAGGCCCAGCTGCTGCCACGGTGCAAGCCCAGCACCACAGTCTGAGCCGTGTGCCACGACCAGGAGGGCAGAAGCTGAAGGGAACCGGGGAGAGACAGCCAGACATGCTCACCTGGACAGGTCCAATGCTTTTGTTTCTGCCTCCTGGCATGCCATCCTCTCTGATTGCTGGAAGAAACAACCAAACCTTGGTGAGGAACACTACTTTGGGTATTCCAGACGTACATAAGAAGGTATCTACTTACTTTGAAAAAAAATCTTTCTACCTTAAAAGGTTAATTTTTTTCATCAAAGAAGTTTACGGAGAAACCTCCAGTGCTTTCCAGGGCACAGGAAACCTTGAGCAGCACACACCATGTTCCTCAACCCAAAGGGCACAGACACATCAATGGGGCTACAAGCATTCCTCAGGCACTTGAGTTTCTTCATGTGATCCTTGAGTGACAGGTGATGAAGGAATAGCAATCCTTTATCCCAATTAATTCCAGCATAATTCCACAGAGAAGTGGCACATGGCAAGGAACCCTACTTCACCCCTGCATATAACCCAACCAATGACCAGACTGCTGGAAAATGAGATGTGAAGGTCAGCACGTCTCACTCCACTGCCCACAGCCCTGTGAACCACCACGAGCCAGAACCTGGAGAGACACCGAGCAGCGCTGCCACCAACAGAGACAAAGCACTTCACTGGTGACTGCTGACCCTGCTGTCACTTCAGAGGGTCACACCTCCTACAGCCACTACAGAAAATGGAGGGGAGACGTTTGACCCTGTCAGTCTCTTGCAAAGCCATCATTTAAAATTCAAGGTACCAGGCTGAGCTGTGCAGTTCCATTTCAGAAGGGCGGTCCTGTTTCTCAGTACAGCAGCTGCATTTTTAAGGCTCTTTAAACAACTTCCAAGGAGTTTTAGTGAAGTCTAATTAAAGGGATTATCCTGGAGCAGCTTCTCTACCTTCCTCCTCCCTCTGCTTTCCTCTGCAGTGACAGAGCAGCTCTGCAGCAGCACAGCACTCGAGGACAGCCCTGCTCATGTGCCTCCCCTCCTGGGCTGGGTCCCCCGTTTATCAGGTCCCAATCTCTTTCCCAGCACGACCTGGCCAGACTTGGCAGGAGGCTCTCCCCAGCTGCACGGTGACCTTGTGGCTGCATGGCCTCACCCTGCTTGGCACTCGGGGCTGCAGGAGGCCCTCCCAGAGCAGAAAATGACACAGAATTTAAGGAAAAGCTTCCGCCCCAGAAGAGCCACGCTGCTGCTTGGTTTTGGATACCCTCAGCTCAAACTCTCCTCAGTGCCTCAGGGCTGTGCCTGCAGCTCAGGGAGTGCACATAGGCTCAGCCAGGGCAGAGATGTACACTCCCTGCACTGGGACCTGAACTGCACCTTCCCAAACCCCAACCACCTACCCAAGCGAGACACAGCACTCGAGGAAAGGTCCTGGTGACTGACAACTGCACCAGCCCAGGACCAGCAGCACAGGGATCCCCACAGGCCCTTCCACCACCACTTCATGGGACCAGCAATAGTTTTAATTCTTCTGACAGAAACTCCATTCCCTCCATGTAACAGCAAGTATTTTCATTTCAGACACCAGGTAACACTCATTTAAGCACACTGAAGGAGCCACAAACACAGGATATAAACCAGCTTTGATTACCTTTGAAATCACACAAATCTCTTACGATATCGCAAGACAAGAAATTCATTTTAACAAACAAGGCTGTTTATTTCCTATGGAAGCCCTTCACAAAAACCACCAGTTTCTCATTAAAAAAAAAAAAAAAGAGTGATGTAAAAAAAGCTGTCATGGTTAGCTGTTACCCCCTTTAGGTTTTTTTAACTTAATGGAACTACAGAATCAGTTTCCCATTTCTGGGGGAACTTCTCTCATTTTCCAAGATATTTCACTGCTAATTGTGACTCAGAAGCTTCTCAGCTTCTTCACCGGTGGGGACTGAATTTCATGCAGTGTTTGGGTAAGGAAGGAGGAGGAAACAAGGCAAGGCAGGGAAGAGGAGGGAAGCAGGACAGGCGGCTCTTGGCGCCGGCAGGTGGCGCTGCGGCCCCGCGGGTCACCCAAAACGGGGGTCCTGGGCCCCCCCGGACCCCAACCCACCCCTGACCCCAAAACGGGGGTCCTGGGCCCCCCCGGACCCCAACCCACCCCTGACCCCCAAAAAGGGGGTCCTGGGCCCCCCCGGACCCCAACCCACCCCTGACCCAAAAACTGGGGGTCCTGGGCCCCCCGACCCAACCCCCCCCTGCCCCCAAAAAGGGGGTCCTGGGCCCCCCCGGACCCCAACCCACCCCTGACCCCCACAAAGGGAGTCCTGGGCCCCCCGGACCCCAACCCACCCCTGACCCCAAAAAAGGGGTCCTGGGCCCCCCTGGACCCCAACCCACCCCTGACCCCAAAAAGGGGGTCCTGGGCCCCCTGGACCCCAACCCACCCCTGACACCACCTGCCCCACCAACCCACCCCCTGACCACCGTGGGCCTGAGGCCAGCTCTCCATCTCGGCCCCTAATGCATTTTCTAAGGAAGATCCTGGTGGATTTGCAGGGGATTTATGGAAGTTTCAGTGTCTCTGACAGAAGGCTTTTGCATGAGTGATGGCCTGGAGGCATCAACAACCACATCTAAAACCATAAGGTGACACTTCTGTTTGGCAGGAGAAAGGGGGTCCCTCCACCACTCCACTGCACTGCCAGGGTGAGCACCAGCAGCCCCCACTTCTGCCATCAAACCAAGAAATCCCTGCTTTTAATGGGTACCAGCAATTCCAGAGGTTAAACAGACAAAAGATGGAAGAGCAGAGACATGACATTGAAAACAACTCCAGTCTATTCATTATTACTAATTTCAGAGCTATTTCAGACTTTCCATCCTGAAGATGGTACCACAGCATTCCGTCACCTCTGCACACGTGGGGACCAAGAGCTGGCTGTCCCTAACCCAGAACACACCTGGTTTAACCAGGTCAGTGAAGACCCTAACACTTTACCCCTGGGCAGTAGCTGTGAGTGTAAGCTCTCACTGCAGCAAACAGGTAAAGTCTGGTACAGATCTCTTGGGATTTTAAAGGCCTGCTTAAACGCTTTCATTCTTGCCACGTTAGCAGATTGAAGCATAGAAATAGTGACCACTTCGCTCAGGGTAAGCAGTGCAAGGACAGATCTGTCAGGAAGGAACTATTACCTTCCCTAAATCATATAGATCAGTTCTCCAAATATTTATTCACGGTTTCAATTTACACAGATTGTGGCTCAAACACAGTAATGAAGTAGTTCAGAATTTTGTATCTGTGCACAATTTTTAATCCGTGCACGATTTTGCTGAAGTTTCATTTTTCCTCATCAAAGAGTTTTAGAGGCAGAATTGCAACACAAAATGGCAGCTGAGGGAGGGGCAGCACACGCTGCTAACACCGGCCCCAGTCTGTACCTCCACCCACAAAAGGCCGTGTTTTCGTTACCTTTCCGGTTCATTCCCATCTGGAGGCATTTGAGCAGCCGGCAGTACTGGCACCTGTTGCGCTGTTTGCGTGACATGACGCAGTTCTTGTCCCGGCTGCATCTGTAGACCCTCTTGTTGCAGATGCTCCGTTTGAAGAAGCCCTTGCAGCCCTCGCAGGAGATGATCCCATAGTGCAGCCCCGTCGCCCTGTCCCCGCAGATCAGGCAGGTTCGCTGATCCACCCGCTCATCTGCAAGGCAAGAGCAAAGACTGAGTGGACAAAACAGCATCACCGAGGGATCACAAACTCTCCTGAGGGGATGGGGAAGGCTCGGCACGCCGTGGCCTGCCCAGACTGACACCTGTGAGGCCAAGCATGGCACTGGCTCACCCAGAAACCTGGATGGGAAAAAGGGTCTAAGGTGTCCCATCCTCAGCAGCACAGACCAGGGTGTGTAAATACAGGAACTGTGCTGGGCACACACACCAGTGACTGCAAAATCCTGTCACACCTCGCATGTTCTGGGGGCAAGCACCTCCGGGCTTCAAACAGCCCCACAGCACAAGTCGCTGCCCAGAACCAGAGAACACCATTACAGAAACCATTGCACAGTCAAGCCACAGTGATGTGATTTTACTCATCCTTTTCCAGATCTCTGGAAGACCTTTGGACAACAAGAAATGTAAATTGCAGGGCTCCCCACAACAGGAGCTGTCACATTAAATTCAGAATTTTAAGACTAACACTGCCTGTGAGAGAGTGCAGGGACGATGCTCGGTTCAGCGAGATCTCCAGACATAGATATCAAACAGAAAGGAAAAAGTTAATGATTGCAAAGACACCAGGTAGTTAACCCAGAATCTTCATCACCTTGTCTTGCAGAGGAAGGCCTAAACTTTGGTTCACACCAACAGCCATCTAGTTTAAAATAATGCCAGCAAGTTGCATCAGAAGCTTTTCTTCTAGCAGATGTTTCACACCCAGCACTTTAACCCCTCTCATGCCAGGCCAAGCTGCCTCCAACCCCCATCCTGCATTTTAATCCATTAATATCCCAACAGCTGCAAACAGAGCTGCGCTGCATAGGTGGGGCTATTCCAGCAAACCTGCAGTATTCCAGGACTCTCCACGGAGCGGCTTTCCCAAATGTGAAACAGGCATTACCAAGATGATTGGATCCCTCTGCCCCAGCAAGGCAGAGGCACCAAGGAACAGAAAGGAACCACACTGCTGTCTCTCACTCAGTCATGCATTTCCTAGGGATGCTGGTTGAACCAGATTGTTTCCAGTGTTTCCTGGCTTAAAGGCAGGATGGTGCCTCTGCCAGCAGGCAGAAATGCCCACAGCTGAAGCAGGACCTGGGAGGTGGCACTGGGAGCGAATGGAGAAGCTCAGACTGGGCAGACACACAACTGCACAAATCCACATCGTGTCTGGAGTGCTGCCCACACCCTCTGTTCCCCTTTGGATACAGACCTTGAAAAAACCCAACCTCAGGACAGCGCTGGCTCGTGAAGATGAGCTGGGTCAACCTCACTTCAGCACTGGCTTTCCTCACTTAGATTTGGCATGGGAGTTTCCTGAGACAAAGGTGTTTATCTACAGGATGGATTTTTGGAGCAGCAGGAGGTAGGAGTCACAGCAAAGTCCTGTCCAGCCTTGATAAAGCCTAAGCAAGCTGACAGACCAGGGTGTAGCTTTTTACTACTGCAGAATATGTGAATGCAACAGAAATTAATAAGCCCAATGTATTGGGATCAGAAATGAAACCAGTATTCAGTTACACAAGCCAAGTAAAAATCTAAAGCAGCTGTTCCTACTCACAAGCAGCTTTCTCCAGAGCTTAAACCTAGTAGAAACCAGAACCAATCTGTGTTAATCTCTAAAAGGTTTGCTATGCACAGCATACACATTTGCACTGTTCTGCAAATTTCACTGTTATAAAACCTTAAAATAGAAGGATGAACAAAGGAAACACAAACTTTAACTGAAGAAATGTCCCTGGTTCACACCAAAACATTCCCAGTTCTACAGGACAGACCACCTCAGGTATGTGCTGAGCCCAAAGGAATGTGGGTGCATTTCAGGAGTGGGGCTATCTGAGCATCTCTGAAGGGAGGTATCTAAACATGACTTTGTAGTCACCACGTGCATAATCTCCACCTTCAGCAATCTGATAAACGAGGGGAGGGGGCTGGGGATTAGCCAGGACACAGGAGTCCTCTATCTGCAGGGTTTAGCTCAGCCTCAGCTTAACTCCTGGCCCTCCCCCTGCTCCCACAGCAGTGCCATAAATCCCGGGGTCAGCAGCAATGCCGTGCCACGGCCGGGCAGGACGAGGGCCTGTGGCAAGCACGGCTTGCACAGCGGGGCAGGCAGGGAGCACATGGACGCGGCAGCACCGGGCACAGCACCGGGCACAGCACCGGGCACAGCACCGGGCACAGCACCGGGCACAGCGCCCAGGGCTCGCTCCTCACCGGAGCAGCCCATGGAGGCTCATTTCCAAGCACAGCTTTTTTTGTTGTGGGAAGAATAGGGCCGTCACCCGGCCAACGTGGGAAGCCCGGATGATTAAAGCGAGGGGGAACCAGAATCCTTCCCGCGCCGTCCCCATCTCCCAGAGCAGGGCAAGGCGAGGTGCTGTGAATGGCCCCATCGCCACAGGAACTGCACGTGCCTCCCGCACAAACTGTTCCTTGGGTGCGTTTTCAGATTAAAATCTGCCGTAGAGCAGCACCGTGAACAAAGGCACAGACCCCAGGGACCACGGAGGTGTCCCCACTCCCCGCAAACTGACGCTCCAACAGAACCGGGAGATGAAAAATGATGGCCTAAACCAAGTCTTAGGGGTTTACATGTTTAAAAAATCCTGCAGGGACCATGGCCAGGCCCACATCGTTCCCCTGTGCCCACGAGTTTGCTGCTCCTGACCTTTGCTTGTTTTCACCCTACTTAATGCAGTGCCTGGTGCAGGCAAAGGGCGGGAGAGCCAGGGCAGAACCACAGCAAACTTCCCAGAAATGGTAAAGCGCAGGCAAATCTGAAGCAGTTTTGCATTGGGGGTGCTCTGAACTCCCTTAACCCTGAAATTTCATTAGAATATCAAAACACATACTAAGGACAGTCATTTTTAAGTGAATAAGCCCGCCTTCCTTTCTGGCTCTGTCACCTCTCATCTCGCTCATTCCTCCAGTTTCAGAAGCTACACAAGACAAGGCAGATTACGAAACAAAGTATTTGAGATGAAATTTTTTTCAAATACCTTGCACATGTTTTATTTCAGAGAGAGAGCTGAGGAAGCTGCCCCCTGCCCCCCTCCCCAATTTTCCTGATGGGTCTTACATTTAACAAACTCATACACGGGATATTCTGGCTTTGTTCTCCCAACCCATTGTAGCAGGGGCCACTAAATCAAACAGTTGCTGCTACGACAAAAGCACTCACAAAAATCTCAACCTCATCTTGAACCCTGAAGATTTTTATGGCTACTCCCTCGCTAGCCCCTCCCCGAAGCCACATTAAAGGATGTATTGTTTTCAGAGGTCATGGTAGGTTTCATACCACATACAATGTAAATTCTCCAAGAATATGATGATGTTACACAAGAGTCACAGAAGATGGAAGAGAAGGAGAAGGAATCTCCTCTTTTCCATATTTAATAAAGCAAACAGTAGAAGCAATACACTTATTTTTCAAAAGACTTGCTTTTCCCCTCAGCAAAATGAACAATCTTGATAATTCTTAAAAGAAAATTGCTATGCATTTCCAAAAGGAAATACCTTCAAATCCCGCTGAAACACATGGCAAAGGCACATAGAGAAAGCACCAGGGCACATGAATGAGATTGTAAAATACACAGCAAATAAATTAAAGTATGGGGACACACCCTCAGCTCCCAAGCAAGCCCGTGTCACCACTCCCACCTCTGTCACTCCTGAGGGCAAACACCCCGAGCAGGTGAAGGGAAGCACCTTCAGTGTTCGGCCGCATTCCAGGAGGGGACCAGGTGTGGCTGCATCTCAGCAGTTCCCCAGGCTGCGAGGGGATCACCCCATCCCTGGAGACCCAGCTTAAAACTCTACAGCCACTACAGCTCCCTGCAGGATTTACCTTGGAAATCAGGCAGCATGTTGGTGCAGCTGGCTTGTGAGATTCTCCATATCGGTGCTTTAGGATGGAGGAGAAACAAAGACTTTATTTCCCAGAGTGAGGCCAAAAGTGAAGGCACAGTCCCTCACCCAAACCCCAGGACAGACGGTGCTGGGATTTGGTCTGGCTGGAAAGCAAGAGGAGGCCAAGCTGCTGCTTGCAAAACATCACATTTATACAACAGAATGTGATTTACAGCTAAGAAAATCTTTTGTCACTGAAAAAAAAGATTACAGGCAACGCTCAGCACTGCAATTCATTAATATATTTAACATCTTTTCAACTGTGTACCAGTTAGTTGCTTCTTGATTAACTGACCCTATCACACCCCCCTGCAGCACCCTTTAGCTGGGTTTAAATCTCAAGCTGCTAAATACCAGCTGTTTGGAGAGGGAGGGCAGAGGGGGAGATCTCACACATGTGTTACTTAAATCCCAACAGCATCTCGCTCCCCTCTCGCCTCTGATGATGACTCAAACACAAACAGATGTGTTATGTGTTGGGGTTTCCTTCTCCCCTTATTTTTCCTAACGATTTTTTTCATTGTCAATTTTTATTTCAAGAAAACCATCCTGTGAAAATCAAGCCGCAGAAGTGGAGGAACTCCCCCCTTGCTGCAGAGCAGTTGCATTGTCCAAACAAGCCCACCCCCAAACCAGGCGCCTTTGCTTCAGGGGCCTTTTTTTTTTTTTTTTAACTTACAATCGATGAACACAGGGATTAAATTTTCTGTGTGCCGGCCCCTGCTCTGGACAGAAGCGAGATCGGCACGCAGTGGGATGGGGCATCCCACTCGTGCTCCCCCCATCGACCCCGCACACGTGAGTTGGTCCCAGCCCCACGCTGGAGGCGGGAGAAGGCACCCGCGTCCTGCCTGGCCAGCCCGGCTCAAAGAGCAGATTGTGCTGCCCCAGGATCAGGCCGGCCTTGGCGAGAGCTGAATAGAATTAACCCTCTATGAACTAAAACAACAATTTTTTGTTGCCCAGCTGGGAGAAAGGTTAATTTAAAGGGACAACCCTCCTGAAAAAAAAAAAAAAAAAGGAGGAGAAAGAAAGAGGCGGCCTGCAACCTTATTCTCTGTACTGTAAAATGATGTTCTTCTCACAGAGAGTCGCATTTTAAAAAGCAGCGAGGGAGCACTGGAAAGAAAAGAGGAGAAACGCTGCACCAGAGGAATGGCCAGTGCATCTCACTCTGCTCTTGCTTTCCAGTAATGAAACCCCAAACTCGCAGTCTTATTCCCTCCTGACTCTGTTTCTGCCCAAGAAAAGTTCAGTCAAAAGAAAACCCTCATAAAAACCCAGAAATCATCAGCTGCTCTTTTTCGGGTCGGTATTAATCAAGAGCGGGCAGCTGATGAAACCCATCACCCTTCCCCGGCCTGGGACCCATCTCCATTTGCATATCAAAACCTCATCTGTGAAATGCAACTTCTCCCGGGCAGGGGAGCCCCGGCCGTGCTCCCTCACCCCGACACCCACCCCCGCGCCCCACGGCGCCCGGCGGGGCTGGGAGCGGCCGGGGGACACGGGGCGCTGCGGGACCCTCACCCCGCTCCATTGTGCGGGATGGGGAGAGGATGGATCCCTCGCTCCAGCCAGTTGTTGCACAAAGAGTTTGGAACAAAAGCCAGCGCACCAGAACGAGCCCGATGGCCGGGACGGCGGCCGGGGACAGGCACGAGGGTCCGGCCGCGCTGCCCCCGCTCACAGACCCGCTCCCGGCTTACGGTCGCTCTCCCGAGTGATCGACTTTCTCTAATCCAATTTAAGAAAAATAAAGCTCCGTGCGCGGTCCCTGCCCTCGCTCCGGCGCGGCTGCAAATCCGAATCAACGTCTGAATTAGACCATTAATTATTTTAATTGATACATTATAAAGCAATAATATGAAGAACTGACTTACCTGCCTAAAACCAATTCTCTTGCCCCTAATGAAGCTGTCTAGATGTGCAACCACAGAGAGCGATGCAGAATTAAGAAAACCTGAGCCTAAACCCACCCCCAGCAGTCCGGGCTGAGGGAGCAGGGCCTGGGCACAACTGGAATAGTGACTTCTCCAACGTGTGCTGCCAAACACACCATGTTCTCTCCTGAAATATTTCATCCTCGCTCTGAAGAGGAGCTTTGCCGCTGTTTTCACTCACAGGGGGTAAAAAAAGGCTGCAAATACCGGGGGGCAGCGACGGTCCCGGGAGAGCCGGGCAGGCGCTATCGAGCGCCTCCGTGACCCCGATACTATCAATAATTAACGATACTAAAAAAAGCTCCTCCAGATGGTCGGAGGGATTAGGAAGTTTTAAATATAAACAAAGTAAGCCACAAAACAAACTAATGCCCTCCCCTTTTTTTTTTTAATTGCATAATCCCGTTCGCAGCCCGGGGCCGCTCTGCCCGGCCCCGGGAGCCGGGAAAAAGGCAGCGAAAGGGGAAAGCCCGCACGGCTCCTTCTCCCCCGCGGGTCCGGACAGTCCCGACCCGCACGCCGCGCTCCGAGCCCCGCCGGCCGCGGCGCTGGGACGGGGCGGCCCCGGGCCGGTAGCGCCGGGGGGCGGCGGCCCCGGGCCCGCGCAGCCTCCGCGGCACCGCCCGGACAAAGGCCCGGCCCCGCTCACCTTCCATGCAGGTCGAGTCCCGCTTCATCCCCGGCCGGCTCTAGGGCCGCCTCATGGCGGCGGCGGCCGGGCAGCCCCGCTCGGCCATCGCCGCCGCCGCGGGCCGCCCTATGCTAACGACGTGATGTCAGCGCCGCCCCCGCCGCCCCGGCCCGCGGGGGGGCCGGGCCGACACACCGACCGGCCGACAGACACACCGACCGACCGACCGACTGACAGACAGACCGACTGACCGACCGACCGACAGACAGACCGACTGACCGACCGACTGACAGACAGACCGACTGACCGACCGACCGACAGACAGACCGACTGACCGACCGACTGACAGACAGACCGACTGACCGACCCACAGACTGACACACCGACCGACCGACAGACACACCGACCGACCGACCGACAGACAGACCGACTGACCGACCCACAGACTGACACACCGACCGACCGACTGACACACCGACCGACTGACTGACTGACACACCGACCGACCCACAGATTGACACATCAACAGACCGACTGACAGAGAGACCTACAGACCGACTGACAGACAGACCGACCCACAGACTGACACACCAACCGACTGACCAACTGACAGACCGACCCACAGACTGCCAGACCTGACCGCCTGACAGACCAACTGATCAACCATCTGATGGACAGACTGATCAACAGACCAACTAACCACTCAACTGAGCGACAGACCGACTGACCGACCGACTGACTGACCAACCACTGCCCCCGCCACAGGCACAGCCCAGGCAGTAGCCACCAGCTGTTGGACACTGGCCATCACCACCAACCACTGGCCATCAGCCACCAGCCATTGGCCACCGCCATAAGCCACCAGCTGTCCCCACTGGCCACCAGTCCCAAGCCAGAGCATGGCCACCACTTTGCATAGTCCTTCCACCAACTTCCAGGGCAGTCAAGAGAACTGCCCACTGCGGTATGAAACAGGTACCACTGACACACATCCCCCAGCAAAATGAGGGATCCCCAGTGTGAAAATACAGGTTGCCCAGAGAAGCTGTGGCTGCCCATCCCTGGAAGTGTTCAAGGCCAGGTTGGACAGGGCTTGGAGCAACCTGATCTAATGGAAGGTGTCCTGGGCCATGGCAGAGGGTATAATGAGATGGTCTTTAATGTCACTTCCACCCCAAACTGTTCTGGATTCTGTAACTCTATAAAAATTATTTCTTTATACTAATAACAACTCTTGGCCAAAACCTGATGTTTAGTTTTTAATCACAAGTGAAAAGCGAACTTGAGATCAATGAGTTTGACAACTCAGCAGACACAGGCAGCACCAGCCAACAGGCACAGCCACTCTCAAGCCAGTGTGGGCCAGATAGCACCATGCTGCTCTTGAGCAAACCCCTTCCCATGCCCACGCCTGGCAGAGCACTCCCAGGGCACAACCAGAGCTGCTGTGAACATGGAGTGGGCTACAGTGCAGTTCACCCGTCCTTAGGGCTGCAGACATGAGGTGCCTGATAAACTGTCCTGGTGCTCAGCTGTATTTGACCAAGCCCAAACAAATGCTCAACACACTGCGGCATTTAAGGGAATGCCCAAAAGCATTTCTGCTGATGCCCAATCCAACCTGTCCTCCAGATGTCTGGATGTCTCAAAACTGGCTCTCCTCAGAAGCCACAGTCTGCTCTGTTCCTCATCCTGAGGACTGCGGGGTTTAAATGCGCTCTCAGAAATGGCTGACTTAGAATAAACAAGGCACAGAGGCAACAAAAGAGGTCATATTTCACTTCTTCCCGAGCCTGAAATCTTATTGCTTTCTGGTGACATCCAGCAATGCAAATAACCTCGTGTGCATGCAGGGCAGAGCTCAGTGGCATCCTCCTGGCAGCCCAGGCACCCTGCTCTGGCTGACACCACCTGGGCAGGGGTCTGGCCACACGGTCTCAGAGGTCCCTGCCAACCCCAAACCCAACCTCAACCCTTCCGTGATTCTCTCTACTCATAATCCTGTTCTAACCCAGCATTTCTGCACAGCAGGTGCACTTGCAGGAGCAAGCTGTTGCCAGCCCGCCCTGCACCAGCCCAGTCTCTGGTTTGCTGATGCTGCAAATCCGTGCAGTTGCCGTGTGGGTCCGTGACACGCTCCTTGGACTGACCTCTCCTCTTCACCGTGGCAGTTCCCGGGGCTGGGCTGTGCGAGGAGCCGGTGCCGTGCCCTCGCAGCGCATGGCCAAGGTAAGCCAGGCCTGGCTGCACTATTGACACAGCTGTTTGCAATTGTGCTGCTCCCAACGCTCTGCATTCTTCATCCCATGTGAGCCCTCCGCTGGCTCCCGGCACCCCTCGGAGAAGTGTGACCAGAATGCAGAGCGCTTATTTTGTAACGCTGCAGTGTGATGTGGACACAGAGGGCTGAAATAAAGCAACTTAATCTCAGAATAACACAAAGTTGCTCCCACAACTGCTGTTGGGGCTCAAAACAGAGATACACCAAAAAAAAAAAACCCAAAAAACCCCCCAAACAACCAAAAAACCCCTCCTAATTCTGAAATTGCAATTATAAGACAAAACCTGGCTGGGAAAAGGGATGATTGCCCTAACAACCCAAATCTTCCAAATTACTCAAACTTGCATTAAATACGCATCACAGTTTGTCCATAATAAATCCCCAAGGGCAGAAAATAATTGCAGAGATCTGGAACTATTCTCTAAAATCAGAGGCCAAACTGGAAATGGGTAGAGGGCAGGCAAAGAGAAAGGAAAGATGAATTCCCTCATCTGACCCAAACAGCCTTGCAGCAAGTCTGGGCGAAGGAAAAAGAGAGTGGCTGGTTCTTATTTTGGCCTGAATCAGCCAATTCCCATGCCAGATGGAAAAAGCTGATGCTACCGTAACCAACATCTAAAATTTTAGAATGACACCAATTCATAACAGTAAAAGCCAAAACCATTGCCCAAAAATGGGCAAATGGCATTGCTGCCTGCAAGGGATTCATTGTCATGATTTAAAGCCATGAGGGATGGACATGGGAAGCAAGAGGAGGTGCTGCCTCTCTCCCCAGGCATGTGCCATGAGGCTGCCCTTCCAAAGAGAACGAATTCTTAAGACATGTGACGGTTTCAGAAATACAGAGCTAAACTGGAGTCACAAGACAGAGCCAAAATGGGTTGAACAGTGCCAGGCCAGGCCAGTGCAGGTCTCTCAAGACACTTTCTGCCAGTACCATCACTCACCACAGCCAATCCCTAAAAGCTTTGATGAAAACCCCAAATTTGGGCAGAGCAGGGCTGGCAGAGCCACGTGGCCCCAGGACAGGGGCAGCCCTTCCTCACTCTTGCTCTCCCACCCACAGCCACAGTTTCATAATTCCCAGGGCTCCAGCGAGGCTTTGCCCATTTTCATGACAATCGGGGCTCTGTTGTGTCCCTGCAGTTTGAGCCATCAGCCCCTTTGTGGCACGAACAAAGTCCGGGCTGTGGATAACAAAACCCAGCACATCTCGGCACTGAAGGCGACAAACCCCGAGCTGCCCCACACCACCGAGCTGGCCACGGACCAAACTACAACAACAAAGTGGATTTGATTTCAAGCAGCAAATAGATCCTAAGGAAATACTCAACTCCTGGCTTTGTTTTCATTTTATCAACAAATGGTGCCACTGGCAGCACCTCTGCTGTGCGACACCAACCGCCTGAGCCCGCGCGGTTCGGCAGGCGCAGGAACGGCCCCGTGCCAGGGAACAAGACCCCTGCACCAGAACCAACCTGGTTTGCAAATGTAGCTGAATAAATTATATAAATTCTGATGAATACATCTCAGCAGCCTCAGTACTGCGGACGTTACCGCTTCCAGCCACTGCAGTGAGAGGACTGGTTGCAGGTAAACACAGCACGTACTTTCCCCCAAAAATCTATTCCCCTCTCCCTATGTATGCAGGTATTTCAGAGAAAATTAATAAAAAAAAATATAAAATTTCTAGAAAAGCTGTGGAAGGAACTGCATGGAATGATAATAAATATCCACCTGACGTCCTGTGATAATGGTTTAACAACAGATCGGGTAATTCCTCTGCTCCCCAGCATTAAACGCACCAGGAGCGTGGAGTTAATAATTCTGCTGAAGGTGGTCACTTGGTGCACATAAAATTAAGCAATTTCCTCCTTCTTGCTAGTTTGATAGGTCACTGTGTAAATAGAATCCTCTTATCAGTTTCCAGAGTTATCTGTTTTTTATATTTTTATTTGCCTGGCTACCGAATTTGCCGTCCCAGTCTATTGAGCGTTTGCAAGAAGCGTTTCATTGCACCTCCCTTGGTGGGTGACAAACAGCAGAGAGAGCTCTGTGTAACAGAGGAAAAGGCAGGGGGAGGTTAAGGGCTCCTCAGAAAGGTCGCCTTCAGAGGAAAAAAGGAAAACAAATGGGATTGTAGGCATGGGAAGTATATGGTTTTACTGCCTTAGCAGGAAAGTACAAGAAAGGAGAATTGCAAAGGGAGAAGCTTTACATTTCTATGAGCAGGCAATTGAGCTCCATTCCCTTCCTATGGGATGACTCCATCCATTCTGGGAGCATATCTCCTGTAACTCCCAGTAACCAAATCAGGTCACACAATGTCAGATCATTCTGGAAAACATGGGGAAGTCCTTGGGCTGGGTCCCCATTGCAAATGTCAGCCCTGCAGTTGCATTATACTTTGAAGATAAACTTTCAGAGATCTACCCAGACAAGACCTTCCAGCCTTTGCCTGAATTTGAGCAGGAAGAGGATGATGGTGAAATAACTGAGGACTCTGATGAAGATTTTATACAACCGTGTAGAAAATACCTAAAATCAGATGAGAGACCAGTGCATAGAAAATAATCTAATGATATGGACCTGAAATTTATTGTAAAAACTGTTATTTAAGTGTTCCTGGAATATTATTATCAGAACCAAGCGCTGCACAGCCAGGGCAACAGTGGGCCCAGGGCAGGATCCGACCCTCACACCCCCATCCTCCTGTGGTCAGTTCTTTCTCCCACAGGCTGAACTGCAGGCACAGAATCCATCAAGCAAACACTGGGTGCAGCAGCAGGGCTTTGTCCCAGCATATCCCACCCACAGAACCAGTGCACCCATCAACAGCGTGGGCACAAATGAGCCAAAAGCTTTTCATCCCAAACCTGGGCAGAAAATTATGTTTAGCAGGATGCAGGAAATGAGGAGAGGCCCATGGGGCAGGAGGCAGAGAGTATCTCCTGGGTTTGAAGAGGCAGAAAAAGTTTTGTGCATTAAAGTGATAAACTGAAAAGCCAAAAGATGATTTTACGGCTGACTTAGACAAACTGGATTCGCACAGCTACAGCAGCCTGCTGCAGTTGCTGATGTTTTTAATAATATCAACAACAGACCAACTTTGTTATTATAAGTGTAATTATTATAGTTCTCAGCACTATTTACAAATCACAGTTTGGTGCTGAGCAGCAATTTTTTGTATACCCAGGGAAAAACAAACAAACAAACAGTGAGGATGTTTCCTCAAATTTCAGGTCAGATGGCAAAACAAAGAGGAAAAAACCTTCAGAACTACAGATGTAGATCCTGTACCTGCACCAACACATTGCTGTGACCACAGAGGCTCAGGAGCTGCTTTGGATCATTAGGAGCTGGAGCAAGTCCTGTTTGGGAACAACCTGGCTGCTCCATGCCTCTCATATACCGTGTGTGGAATGCAGAGGTGGCACCTCGTTACTCTGTGGAGAGACGTGGGGGACGTGTGGGACGGGGCTGCGATGCCAAGCACAGGGAGAGCATCCTTGGTGTGGCAGGGCTGTCACCAGGCACAGAGAAACGCCTGGATTCTATGGAAAGGGAGAAAACATCGACAATCCTCACCCTTGGGCTTCACAGCAGGTTTAACACGTGCTGTGCTGAAGGGTTCCTGTGGGCTTGCGGAGATGGGCCCCCAGCCCCGACCCCGGGCAGGGGCTCAGCCCCTCCACACCCGCTGCCCCTTCCCCGGGCGATGGTGCCGCGGCAGGGCCAGCGCTGCCCCCGCAGGCCGGACAGGCCGGACAGGAGCTGGACAGGAGCTGGACAGGAGCTGGACAGGAGAGGGCAGCATCCGACCGGCGGACACGGCCGGGCCGCGGGGACCCCGGAGCGCCGCCACCAGAGCCACGGACCCGCGGAACGGGCTGGGCTGGAAGGGACCCACGAGGATCACCCAGCGCAAGTCTTGGCCCTGCACAGACACCCCGAGAGTCCCGCGGACTGGGCACGCCGCGGATCGGGCTCGGCAGAGCCGAGCACAGTCCATACGAACCTGCATTTCAGCACCAGCTCCGGCCTCAGCTTTGGGGCGAGAGCCCTCCTGGCCCCAGCACTGCCCCGAACAGCTCTGCAGCATCCTCACCTCCGGGGTGCCAAGACGCAAATGGGTCCTGCTCATGGGCTGGCACCTTGGTTTTATTTTTACTGCAATTAGCTCTCCTGTCATTAGGAGTAGGTATTTAAGATGTCCTTTTTTCCCCCCCAATCTTCTTTGAGTATTCCATTTAACTTGTCGAAGTTTGTAATCCTTTTTTTTTTTTTAACAAGAAAAGGAAAAGCTGATCAGAAAAGTCCTTCCAGAATTTACAAACACGGGAATAAAATTATGGAGGAACCATCTGGTATACCCTGACAATACCCCCAGACTTCCCCTTTGTTCCCAGGTAGTCGGCCAAGAATACATCCATGCAGAAAACAGCATATTGCACTCAAAAAAACTCCATCACCCCAACTCTCAGCTTCTGTAAGAACCCCTGCCAACACCTCAGCTTGGAGACTGACGATTTACCACCTAAAACATATCTCACCGCAACCCCCTATAAACCACAATTACTTCTCGAGATGTTGGCAAGTTGAAATAAAATTGTGAAATGTCAAAATCTACGGAAAATATATTTGTTAGAATGGCAAGGGCAACTGAGGGAAGAGAAAGTGGCATGGGACAACAGGGCAGGAGAAATCCCATACTCAACAAATTCTTATGTAAATTCAGTTTCCTTTCTAGAGGGCTTCAAAGTAGAAAGGAAAGGCAACCAGCACAGCAAGGTGGCCCAGTGACACACCTGGCCCTGTTTTAGGGGGAGGAGGGTCCATGATTTGTCATCCCCTTTCGCTGTCCAGCCACAATGTGAAAGGCCCAGCTCAAAGCTGCAGTGGTGGCTCCTCAAGAAAAATGCTTTCATAATTTTGTTTCTGCTATTGCAGATGTGAGGGAAATGTTGCCATGAGCTACACAGGTTGTCCTGGCTGCAAAGTCAATTCCTTGTGTGCACAGCAGGTCCCGTGATTTCAGCACAACACGGCACAGGAGGACAGTGCTTGGGAAGTTAAATCTCTGTATTCAGTCCACTCCTTTGGAGGAGCCTGGAAATCTGGGTACTTCTGCTCTGCTCCCCCCTCCTACTAATATTGCTCCCACTTCTGAACGAGGTAAGAGCTGAATCCTGAAAAAATACCTTTTACCTCCCTGTATTCCTTCTGCTAAACCCGATCCTCATCCTTTCCTTCTGATAAACTAGATAATTCACACATCACCTCTACCAGCTGCTCCTAGGCCCAGATACCACCCACCCCAGACAGCACGAGGTCCCAAATTAAGATGTACGTGACTCAAAGAAGAGCCAATTTTATTAGACTAACACCAGAGGAAGAAAATCTTCCATCTTCCTGTCGTTCGTGAAGCCTCACAGGACAAAGTATTCCCATGCCTGCTCCTGACAGGGAGCGAGCCTGCCCCGGTGCAGGGACTGCTGCTTTGGGTGTAAAGGCTGAATCCAACATGCAGTATTTAAGACAATTAGGTTTTCAAAGAAACTACACTAAACATTTCTTTCATGTGTAATCAAATTATGTTAAAGCAAACCTCATAATTTAAACCATTCCATTGGTCAGCTCCTATTTGTTTTCCCTGCACCCTCATTTTTGCTCCAGATCTGTCACATTACATTAACACCTTTCCTACTCACTGCCTACAGAAATAACAGCCTTCGACATGCCTGCACAATCCATTTGTCCTGCTCTAATTACTTTTTGACATAGCCTCTTCTGCTGTTATCTTGCCTTTTCTGACCTCTGTCTGTATTAAAGCCATTTAAAACAATCTTTAAACTCGGTATCTATTGTGATGTGTCTTATATGATACTGCTGGAGTATCAGTCAGCAACATTTTGTAAATCAAATATTTAAATCTATGGTAATAAGATAATGTACTTGAGCTGGAAAGCTACTGCATGGTAGTAACAGCTACAACTGGCTGCTCACAACACAAGCCCCCAGGACTGCAGCACATTTTCAGGATGGAATTCCCATAGTCATAAAACTGTTCTACATAGGGAAGCTGCTCAAAGATAAACAGGTCTTCTGTGTACTAAGGAATTTCCTTTAATTTCACGAATGGGGAGGAAAGCAGGAGAAACTGAGAAAAGTGGTCATCCTGCACAAACAAACCCAAACAACCTCCAGACAGACTGAGCAGACAGGAAGAGGAGCAGGCAGGCTGCACCAACAATGCAGCCCATGACAAATCACACTCTTCTCCAAACCCAGAGAAGAAACCATGAATCTCTAATCCCAATATCCCTCTGTTTTCATCAAGCCCATTCAAAAACTGTGCCCTCATTTTCTTTTGCGGTGATTCACAGATGATGAACCTCTAATTACCAGCTACTTCCCTGGCTGAAGCAGCAGAGGATCTGCTCCGTGCCAAGTGTCTGCTTCGGAGTCAAGAACTTATTCCACATGGTGGAACTAATTTTTTGGATATCAAGTTGATCCCAACGT